TATATACCTTGGGACCCTGAAAGCAGAGCACTCCATATGGCTGAAGTAGCTAGATGTGTGCCACCACAAGTATTATTTTATCTCCCATGAAAGGTAACTGGTTGGAAGAGGATTTACTTTTCTGTTAAAGTAGGTTGTTTCAGCAGGTAGTATTTCCTCAGTCTTGTACAAAAATGTGTTCACTCATTAGTTCTTTCAAGTGTTCACAACACTCTGTGGTATAGGTAGAGCAATAATTATCTCTCTCCTCTTATTGCTTATGAGGAAGTCATTGCCTATGAGATTTAGAGTGGGAATTGACTTCCTCAGGATCACACTGCTTATCAGTAACAGAGCAAACACTGTAGAACCAGGCTCAGAGCACTTTCCATCACAACTTAGCCCAGAAGTAGTGAGGGGTGTTGGCTTTAGTGACATCTTAGGATTGTGGCCTTGTTAGCATATGACTCTAGAGAGGAGGAGAAAACATCCTTGCTAGACACTGAATGGTCTCAGCCATCACCAGCAAGGCCTAAACAGAGGCTAGATAGACCCAGATGCTGGTTGAGGCTCACATCGGGAAAAGTGGCTGTGGGTCCTTGACTGTGACCTGCCCAAGCCACATAAATTTGCCTTACTGGGTACTTAGTTTTTTAGTACAAGGGATCGGTGGTAAGTCCAGAACCCCAGCCAGCATGGCCCGTCTATCCCACTTTGGGTTCTCTGAACTCATAAGCCAAGCAGTAAGACACAGAGCTTCCGTTTTGGAAGCCGAAGACTAGTAGTATTTAAAGAAAGTCTGTTGCAGCTGTCTCAGCTGCATATTTTCTAACATGTGAGGAATAATGATAGTTCACTTTATGTAGCACTTACAGTCTTCATTCCAATTAGGTCATTTGAAACTTGTTACATCATGAGCAGGGCTGGACAGAACTATTATTACTACTTTACAATGAGGAATCTGAAGCTCAGAAAATTTGCTAATATAATTCCTAATGTTAGTAAGTAGTTTAGTCAGGACTCAATCCCTATCTTCTCTTGATTGATACCAATCAAGATGTTTTCCCTCACTGTCTTGTTATCCAGTGTTCCTGTCCTTATCTCTAAAAGCAAACTGTGTCTGCAGCAGCTCTGCCTTACCCTTAACAAGGAATGTTCTTCATCTGTGGGGCCAAGCCCAGCTGAGAGAAGGCTGAACTCTTAAGCTTTTTGTGGTTATCCCATGACTGACTTGAGTTACAGCAGTGGGAGAGTCTTGAAGCTCAATGCGTAAAAGAACCTCAGCCAGTTGATAGTGCCTCTCTTCTCATTTTCACCAGAAAAGTCAGGGCTACTTTCAGGTTTTGGGAAATAAATTGTTGGCTCTGGAGCAGGGGATGATCCTAAATGGATAAAAGAGAAGTTGACGTTTGTGGGGAGGAGATTAAGCTCAGGGAGAAGCATCCTCCACGCAGGGGCAGAGGATGGAGAAATGCATGTGTGTGTTGGCTAGGTGGTGAGAAAAGGGTGTTGAATTATGGACTAATCTGTACCCCATCTAGTGGGACTGGAGAATGGGGAAGGGCTAGGCAAGTTGGAAACTCCACCTCAGGAAGCCACTTTCTTCTCCGGCTGAGTCATCCACCTGCCTGCAAGAGGGGAGGGCAGGGTTGAGTGGAAGAATAACCAGCTGCTCTTAGATACTTCCTCATCCTTTTATAGCCCCACCCCTGTTGCTAGTCCCAGCCCTTCAGGGCATTTTGCAAAGAGGAAGCATCAACTCAGGCTACCCAAGCTCTGGGAGTCACTCCTTCAAGGCTTGTAATTCACATTAGGGTTGGCGGCTTGGTCCTATAATACCCTAGCATTTGCTCTTATCTGGTTCCTATTTCCCCACCTAGTCATACACTATCAGAGAGGGGGCTTCTGAGATGAACTAAACATTTTCATTTTATAAAGGATGCATCAAATCCAGAGAGAGGCAGTGACTTTCTAGGGCCACCTTGTATGTGGGATCTGAACCCACCTTGGCTTCTAGGAGCATGCTAACCTCCACTAAAGCCCAACTTAATTGTTAGGGATAAACCCAGGCACTGAGCATCCACCTCTTGCTTCTTGGCTTGCTACTAGTAATAGAAGGCCACACTGCCTCTTCTCTTCCTGGGCCGTAAATTAGCATCCTTCTCTCAATTAACAGATAGGAGGAGGAGGAGGTCTCAGGGTCAGAACTTTGGCTTTTTTTTTTTTTTTTTTTTTTTTTTGAGACAAGTCTTGCTCTGTCACCAGGGTGCAGTGGCATCATCTTGGCTCACTGCAACCTCTGCCTCCCAGGTTCAAGTGATTCTCCTGCCTCAGACTCCCAAGTAGCTGAGACTACAGGTGCCTGCCACCATGCCTGGCTAATTTTTGGATTTTTAGTAGGGACGGGGTTTAACCATGTTGGCCAGGATGGTCTCCGTCTCTTGACCTTGTGATCTGCCTGCCTCAGCCTCTCAAAATGCTGGAATTACAGGTGTGAGCCACTGCACCCAGCCAGAACACTGGCTTTAAGAACTAATCTTCAAGATGTCATTGGGCTCCTAACCCGAAGAGCCCAAGTTTATGCAGAGAGAGACTTGGAAGTTAGATGGCAAGGAGCACACAGCGGGGGAAAGCGGCAGCAATAATGGGCTCAAGGATTGCAGCATCATAAAGGCGATGGAGAATAGCCGGGAGGATTTCTTCTTTAGCACTTTGAAATGCCTGACAAGGAATTGAACACGAGGCAGTTTGTTCCAGGATCATTGTGCTGGAGTGAGAAGGGGAAATAGAAGGGTGTTCAGCAGTGTAAGTGGTCTCACTTAACCTCCAGGATGACAGTGAGTGGAGTTCTTCAGTAAGTAACAGGGGAAAGGGCAGGCATTGACTAATGGCTTTTAGAATGTCAGAGTTTGAAAGGGCCTTAGAGATGCTGCTAGTACAACTCCATCGTTTTATAGTGGAAGAAGCTGAGACTCAGAAAACAGTGCTGTGACCTAATCAGCACCATACAGGAAGAACTACAACTCAAATTCCTTAACTGCTAGGCTAGGACTTTTTCCCATTGAGTTCAGAGAACACTGAGACTCATAATTCTTAGTGGTTCTGATTTGGTTTGGGCCAATAGTTTTAGGAACTAGTTTCATTTGTCTACAAACTAGTATATTAAATGTTTATTTGGGGGGCATTAGCGAATTGGTGGGATTTATTCCATGTTTTGGTAGCCATTTCTGTAAAATTCTGAACTGTGACATTACATTTTTTCCTTTTCAGTTCTCTTATTCTGATGTATTGGTCCCCAACACCTGGTGGTACATTTGCTTACGTGGCTCTTTTTTACTCTTTAAAGGATGATTGTAGCCATAGTGGTAAAATAAAATCTGGCTGGCTGCCTGCTGAGCTCTCCCTTGCACTCAGAGGTCAGATATATGATTCCATAAAATAGGAGTGAAGAGAATGCTGAGGCAGAGACACTGTTTTCCTGAGCTTTGTTTTACATTTATGATTGTGAATCTGAAAGTGACCACCTAATCACAGTGTACAGGACAACACAATGCATAGGACAGTTGTGTGTTCATTTATTGAGGTGTTTGGGCCTGTCCGAGCTTATTCACGCTTGAGTCATGCATGGTCTCGAGTTAGAAAGGCTCTTAGAGATCTTTCTGCCAAATCCCCATACCTTTTTGAGAAAGAAACTGAGGTGCCAGGTCATAGTCATGAAATAGTAGAGCTGTTCTTTGTTTTCAGCCTTACCTACTGTAATGGTGCTTCTCTTCATTTGGATGGTTTAAGTCAAAACTCACAGAAAATTGCCAAAATGTTTCCAAGGAAGTATTGTCTGTTGACTGGCTGGGAGGCTGGGGATGACCTTTTGTCCTCAGACAGTTCTCTTGGGCTGCACATACCCTAACAAAGGCCGATAGTGAGTCAGCCTTACTGCTCTCTTGTTCGGAACACAATACTCACCACCACCCCTACCCTGAGCTCACCCCACATCTAATAACGGTCTCCCCAAAAGGACTGCAGTCGACTTAGCTGTTCTTGGTTAAGGAATCGTTGTGTCTTGGTGTATGTAAGGCTAGGTCTGAAAGACTAGAACAATAATCAGGTATATCTGGGTCAGTTTAGACCACTGGTTTCCACATGGTAGTTGGGGAATACGCTGCATAAGGATACCCTGAGGGTGCTCTTCACAGATGTAGATTCCAGGGCCCCACTCTAGATCTACTGCATCAGAGTCTTGAGGAGATGGAGTATGAACATCTGTATTTTTAATAAGCTTTCCAGGTGATTCTGGTGCACTGTTAGATACAGGATATCCACTGGGACCTTTGCTGTCATCTCTGTTTAGCTTAAGCTCTTTTTTTTTTTTTTTTTTTTTGAGACGGTTTCTCTCTCATTGCCCAGGCTGGATGGAGTGCAATGGCATGATCTCGGCTCACTGCAACTTCCACCTCCCAGGTTCAAGCGATTCCCGTGCCTCAGCCTCCCGAGTAGCTGGGATCACAGGTGTGTGCTACCAGGCCTGGCTAATTTTGTACTTTTAGTAGAGACAGGGTTTCACCATGTTGCCCAGGCTGGTCTTGAACTCCTGACCTCAGGTGATCTGCCTATCTCTCAAAGTGCTGAGCCACCATGCCTGCTAATTTTTTTTTAATTTTTATTTTTGAGACACAGTCTTGCTCTGTAACCCAGGCTGGAGTGCAGTGGAGCAATCTTGGTGCACTGCAACCTTTGCCTCCTGGGTTCAGGCAATTCTCATGCCTCAGCCTCCCAAGTAGCTGGGATTATAGGTGTGTGCCACCATGCCCGGCTAATTTTTGTATGTTTAGTAGAGACAGGGTTTTGCCATGTTGGCCAGACTGGTCTTGAACTCCTGACCTCAGGTGATCTGCCTGCCTTTTGAAGTGCTGAGATCACAGACATCAGCCACTGCGCCCAACCTTAGGCTCTTCTAAGTAGACCTCTGAGATGAAAGGAAAACCCCATTACATTAGTACAATCTTTACAATATTCAAAAACGCTTCCCATCTGTGATTTTATTGGTTACTCATGATAACTTTGTTGGACAATAGGACAGGTATTAGATAATAGGATAGGCATTATTATCCCAACCTTGCAGATGAGGAAACTGAGCCTTAGAGAGCTCACAGTCTAAAGCCGCAGTTAATAAACAGAGTGGCAAGTGACGGAGTTGCAAAGCCCCCTATTTCACACATTCTGGCATTTAAACCTAGGGCAGGACCTGACCTTTCATCTTTGGCTTCACCTGTAGACTTCTTAGAAGGATGATCCAGCTTGCAGTTCCCATGTGTTAGAGATTTGTCCTGGCTTCTCTGCTCTTGGAGGCAGAGATCTCTTGAGGTTGGAGTGCCGTACAGTATTAACACTGCATATCATTTTCATTCCTTGTGCCCCCAGAAAGCCAGCAGGTGCAGGGTGGCATTCCTCACTAGTGCAACGACAGGAGGCTTCTGGGGCAAGTAGATCAACTTTATTTCAGATTTTATAATCAATTTAGCTCGTACTAATTGGTTGGATAATGACGCTTTACACTTCCGAAGACATTTAGTTGGCATCTATAAAAAACCCACAAGCATTTGCTAAGCAGGTGCAACTGAAATCGAAACATGGATGCATTATTATGATGATTGCTCCTCTTGGGCACAGCTACGCAGCAGCCTAGGCCCTGTGGTCTTTTAACCTTTTATGGGAGCAGGCACACGCAGTTTCTCTCGCATGGAATTTCTGGCCATTTCAGATCTGCACTCTGTCTTGCTAAGCCCTTTGTAATAAGACATCAGGATTGGATACTCTACCTTTGAAGCCTTTGTCCATAATGTATGTGTTCTGACGTCTATCCATTCCACAAACACCTGTATAAAAATATCATGTAAGGAAAGAAAATATGGGGGTGAGGTTTACTTAGACTAATTGAGTTTTCCTTTTTCTTGCTTTTCCCCCCTTTGTCCCCTACCCAGAAAATAGTTGTTTATTGCTAGAAAATGATTTTGGGTTTAAGCTACCTGAAATTGTTTTGATTATAGGAATTCTTCAAAGGCTCATGAGCATTAAGGCGAGCTACAGCGATCCCTGGCATATTCAGCACTCCTTCCCTTTAACCTTCACCATAGGGGAATGTCTTTCAGGAAGTAATAAAAGGCTGTTCTAATGCCACCTGGAGTCCCTGCAGATGAAACTCCAGGCTCCAAGGGTATAGGATAAGGAATGAAGCAGAACCAGTTCTTTGCTTGAGGGCAGGCTGTATGACATTCCAAATCACAGTTCTGCTGGAATTTGGAATGGGTTTGAAGACAGTATTTATCACCTTGCAGCTCTGGTCCTCTCTGTCCTCTCCGGGATCCAAGGCTCATCTGAGGGGAGCCAGAGAGAAAGAAAGGGGGAGAGGCGGCTGAGGTTCTTGATTAGTCATCTTTATATAGGACGCAGAAGACATTGCCTTCCACAGCCAGTTCTCTTAGTTACTCATTTTTTGGGGTGGTCCATTTATACATAATGTAGAGTTGTTTTTGAAAAGTATTACCAATGTTTTTAGCCCTAAGGATTTTTTTCTACCATTTGGCTGTTAGTTTTTTCCTAGGCTGCAACAACGCATGATGGCCCTCAGCCTCAGCCAAGAGGCTTCAGGGACTAAGCTTGGGCTCTTTGCTGCTGGTGATCCCAGAAAAGAAATTGTTTGACATTTCTAGGTTGGGACAGGAATGACTCTGGCTCAAAGTCAGAGCCATTTTTTCTTCCAGCTTGTAACTGAGGACACGGTGCCAAGCAAGGCCTGCAGCAAGTGCTTACTAAAATACAGTTTGATTCTCCTTGACTCTTCCCAGTTTCTGACAGTGAAGACCAACCTGTTGCTTTTTGGATTCCTTCCTATAGCTCCTCTACATAGAGTTGTCATGTTGAATTTGAAAGGGTCTACTCCCATCTGCCTACCTTCCACAGGATTACCAAGAGAAATGGCAGAACCAGGCCCAAGATTTTCTTTCAAATTTGCTTTTTTTTTTTTGAGATGGAGTCTCGCTCTGTCACCTAGGCTGAAGTGCAGTGGTGCAATTTCTGCTCACTGCAACCTCCACCTCCCGGGTTCAAGTGATTCTCCTGTCTCAGCCTCCCTAGTAGCTGGGATTATAGGCATGTGCCATCATGCCTTTTTTTTTTTTTTTTTTTCCTCTTCAGGTAGAGATGGGGGTCTCACCATGTTGGCCAGGCTGGTCTCGAACTCTTGACCTCAAGTGATCTGCCCACCTCAGCCTCCCAAAGTGTTGGGACTACAGGCGTGAGCCACCATGCCTGGTCTCAAGATTGTTATTTTTCTGAAAGGCTTATAGGAACCTGTGCCCTTCAGAATCATGACCGCAACTGTCTATATACGGACATCAGTTCAGCGCTTTATACCATAGAAGGACATTTTTGCCCTCCCTGAGGGAGGGTGGCTAGGCTAACTTTTCTTCCTTTTTACAGAGCAGGGAACAGGCCCAAAGAGCAACAGTGACTTGTCCAAAACCACACTAGCAAGTGAGAAGTTGAGTTGCAGCTAGGGCCCGATCCCTCCAGCTGTTCTTTCCCACTGGACACCAGCCTGCTTGGGTGTAAGACAAAAAATAACAGCGCATGGTGCTCTGGCTACACTAGTTAAAGAGTGAGATCTGTAAAGCTGGGAGAAATCTGGCTTAGATCAGAGGACGCTCCCCTGTGGAAAGAGATAAAGGGTGGTGGTGGTAGGGCTGTATGTGTGTATATGTTGGTAGAATGAGGGAGATTACAGTTGGTGGGGTTACTAAATGCCTTGGATACTGTCCAGGGAACCCACAGCTAAGAACACAGCCTCCTGAGTATAGGCCCAGGGTCCATGCAGCCCATGGCTGCTCAGTGGGCAGATGAATTCAGAACCTTCACTCTTCTTAGTGTTGCTGGGCCCAGGACCTGCAGGGATTGGTAGAGCAGCTCAGTTTCCTTAGAGTTCTAGAAACCAGCTAGAGCCTGACGTCAGGTCCTGAGTTGTCTGGTATGCTAAGGCCCTGCCCCAGGGTGCCCCAGGAGAGCCAGTTTGTAGGGAGGCCACATTCTCTGTTCATTCATTGCACTTATTCCTATGACACCTTCTGTAACTCCTACCCACATGTTCCCATCTCAGGGCTGACCTTCCCAGTCTCTTTTTCTGTGTCTCTCCCAGGCCACCAAGTTTCAGGCCAGGCTGTACTCAGTCCATGAATACAGATGATGTTGGTTGATACATCGTACCTCAGCCTCTCCAGATCCCTGCTTGACAACCCTACCTAGTGATCTGAGAAAGCTTAGCTTGGGTTACTGGGGATTCTGGAGTCTCTGGGAGACACTGGACTTAGTGGCCAGAGAGCTAACTCCCTGTTACCCATTCCAACAGGGCCCAGAGAACCCCAAAGATGTCACCATCCCCAAGTCATTTTCGAATGGATTTGGGTGGTATTTTGTGGCCTGTAGGGAGGGCAGTTTTTTGGTATCTTCTCCACCCCAAGCAGCCTGTTTGTCCACATCCACTGTCTGCTATGGGAACAGAATGGGGAAGATCCAGACAGGTTTCCATCTTTAGATAGGGGATTGGGCTGGTAGACATGTCAGGAGGGAAGAGGGCTTAAAAGGGAGAGTTCGGGGACCATGGGACGGGGGTAAAGGTACAGGGATGGGGATTAGGGCAGGTGCTGGGTCTGTCTGGCATGAGAGGGTGGAGGGTAGGGCTGGGGTCTGACCTGGTGAGTGTGGCTCAGCGGGGCGGCTGAGGTGTCTAAGTTCAATGTAGAAGTCCTCGGGTGGGTACCTGGCCTCCAGGGCACTGATCTGGAAATGGGAGTCTAGTGAGAGGAATGACAGGGAGGAGCCATTATTCCCAGTGCCCTGGTATGGCAGGGGAAGGGGATAGGAAGTATACAAGTGGGTCAGGGTGAGGCAGGCTGGAAGGACTCAAGGGCTTCTGTGTATAGCATCCAAAGGGTCCAGGGCCAGCGGGGCCAGGGGGATCTTCTAGAGCCAAGGTCATCTGCCTTGTTTCCCTTCTCCCTCCCTCCCTCCCTCCACAGGAATTAGTGCTCCTCCACCAAGGCAGAGGCAGAGGGAAGAAGCCCTTGAAAGGGGCACCCTGGTCGGGCCTGGGTCAGGCAGAGATTCCTGTCCAGATTGCAAGTGTGTCTTTTGCTTCCATCTGGAATCCCTAGATCAGGCGTCCCCAAACTTTTTACACAGGGGACCAGTTCGCTGTCCCTCAGACCGTTGGAGGGCCGCCACATACTGTGCTCCTCTCACTGACCACCAATGGAAGAGGTGCCCCTTCCTGAAGTGCAGCGGGGGGCCGGATAAATGGTCTCAGGGGGCTGCATGCGGCCTGCGGGCCGTAGTTTGGGGACGCCTGCCCTAGATCCTGGCCCTGGTTTTCTCCCTTGTGGTCCCTCGGTCATAGCAGGGACTTATCCCCTAATACGGTAACGGAAGGGAGTCTTGGGCATCATCTGCTTGTGATAGCCAAAATTTCTCCCTGGGGGAAACCATGTTCAGGACTCATAACCCTTTCCCTTTGAGCTGGGTCTCTCTCAATATGGAGGAAGAAGAATAGGGTGGGACATGATGGTGGGGACCAGACTCAAACCACTACTGACCTAACACGTTCACATAGCTGTAGGGGGTCCAGCCTGCTGTGTCTCTGTCAAGGGACTTGTTACTGAGCTGTTTGGAGAGTAGGAGAGCCAGTTAATATCTAGTGCCCCAGGTGCCCCTCCCCAGTCTTCACTATGACTAGCTTCAGTGCACCCCACCCTGTGATAATCCTGATACACCTGGGTCCTTGGCCACTGAGAGAAAAGGGAAGCTAAGTGTTCCATGACAGGCCACCATGGTGTGGTTAGTGCCAGTAGGAACAGAACATTCCCCACCCAAGCTGTTGGGCTGAAGTTGTAGGGTTCCCAGGCCTTCTAGGGTAGATTGAATAAAGCCGGCCCCAACAGAGGAAGCAGATTAGCTGGGGGTGGGACTGAGCTTTAGGAGAGGGGCCTCTGGTGATGTCTCAGCTGCAACATGAGGCCATCTCCAGCACAGAAGGAAGTCTTGAGGCTGCCTGCAATATCACTTGTCACCTCTGCCACCTGACCCTGATTTGGGCTGAATGAGAGATTTTCCTTTTCCTGTGACCAAAGGAAAGCTTCAGAACAGGGTGTCTTGAGGCTCATACTGCATTCCTTTCTTTCTCTGCATTCTCACAGCTGCCCTTCACATGATACGAGGCGAGGATGGTTATCCTTATTTCACAGATGGGGACCTGAGTCCTGACTTGTGTGCCTTGCTCGTGAACACACAAGGAGTCAGTGACAGAGCTGTGCCTGGAGCTCAGGTCTCAGCTCCCAGTGCCATGTCCTTTCCATGTCATCACAGCTGCCTGCCTCTGCTGCAGATGCCCTGTTAGACTGAGGGATCCTTAACCACGGAGAGCCACTCTGGGTCCTTGGGCTGAGGTGACCCAGAGGGTCACCAAGTTGGCTACTCTGCAGTAATTCTAGCCCCTTACCAAAAGAGGGTGGAGGCTGAGAGTGGCCCTGGGGTGTTGGCTTGATAGTGGTTGCCCTTGAGGCTGTATAGTATCTGTTACTGTTGCTGCACCAGGTCTGTGGCAGAAGGCATGGTCTATGGGACTGCTGGTCAGTCTCCACGAGACAGACAGGGAAGAAAGGACTTCTAGAAGTCTAGGGCATAGCTTTGGACTGTGAAAGCCATGCTTTTGGCCCGGAATGGATATTATGGGAAGCCAGGAATCCCGAGATTCCCACTCCCACCATGGCCCCGCTCGCCGCTGTTCTGCATCTAAGGCACAGGTAGGTGTCTGGAGGTATGCAGCATGAGCCTCTCAGACCTGTCCTTGGGGCTGTTCTTTCTCACTTTCTGTTTCCCACTCTGCCTGGTATGGGTCCGGGCACATTAAGGGAGCTCTCTAAATTATCTACACAAAGGTGCTGAGACATCCCTGCTCAAGGGCCTGTGACTGTAAGGAGGACATCTTGCCAACAGCCAGGGTTATGCTGGAAGCTGTCAGGGAAAGTCCTGTCCAGGAGCGTGCACACCTGCCATGAAGATCTACAGAACTCACTGTCCACGGAACACTGGTTATGGCTGAAGTTTGGGTTCCACAGCCCTTGTGTTGATTCAGATTTCAACAAATGATGAGGAGTGGGTACTGATGACATGGGTATGTTCAGGTAAAAGAAACATTGTTAGGTGGTTATCTGAATAATAGTAGTTATTCTATAACATGCCAGTTGGACAAACTGTGTTGGTAGCACACTGCAGTGATTTGTGGTAGGTGGTCTAGTGTTTGGATTCCATGTTGACATATGGCAAAAGTGTCTACATGATACACATGATTCCATGACTTGGTACCACAGGGTGCAGGGGTATATGTTATGCACAGGGTTACGCACAGGGTGCAGGGGTATATGTTAGACTGAGTGATGCTATGGGTTGTTTACACAGCACTGGGCTCCATGTAACATGCTGGCTCCATGACATGCTTCAGAGTGTTTACATGTACCATGGATCACAGGGTTGCTTTTAACGTGTTGATGGTCAGTTCTACATGTACCCTCCCTGTGGGGGTGCAGTTCCTTCCTGGGCAGAGGTGAGGGTTAAATGAGAGGGCAGTGGGTGGGGGCTGGGGAGTCAGGGGCCCGGTACCTTGGTGGGGCTGTTCCTGTCCAGAGTGCTGGCCTGGCTGGTGGCAGGCCCCCCACACGCCAGTGCGTGGTAGCTGGAATTGGAAAAGCAGTGGGCATGGCTGCTACTTTGAGACAAATCTGGGAAGAGAACAAGGTGCCACATACCATCATACCCCTGCACCTGGCATGAGATACCCCAGTACTAATGCTTGGGCTGGGAGCCTTGAGAGAGCCCTGCAAAGACAAATAGCCAAGTACCCCATCCCCTACGCTTCCTGCATCCACTACCCCTACTGAAATCTGGAGAGCCTGATTTGCTCTTTCCCGTATGCTGGCCCTCCCTGCAGCATGCAGGTTAGGCTCACCAGTGACAAGGGGGGCACCACCAACTGGAGCCTGGATGGGGCATGTTGGCTTTGATAGCCTCACTAACATGTCCCTGGGTCCCTATTTAGGGCTGGGCGGACCCTCTCCCGCTTCCTTCTAGGGTTCCATCCTGGTAATGAGATCCTACAGAGAATCTCACTCTTCTTGACCCTGCCCTTCCCTCCTAAGGGAACCAGAACCTCTCCACAGGGCTGGGGAATACCAGAGGAATGGCACAGGAAACCATAGCCAACTTTCTCAGGATAGTCATAGAAGAAAATCCCCAAGTCTCCTGTGTGGGAGATGTCTGCTTTGGCTGAAGCCAGTGTGGCACGTAGACCAGGAGCTCCTTGAAGGCATTGTGTGCCCTGGTCTGCAGTGCCTCGCATGAAGCTCGACACACAGAAGGTAGTGCCTGGCAGGAATGGGTGAAGTGATCTGGGTTTTCTAAGCACAAGACACAGGAGGCTGCAGATGAGCCAGGTGCCATGAGCCAGTAGGAGAGAGCTGTTACCTTGTGCTCACCCTGACAGGCTCGGCCTCGTATGGCCCAGGGTTACACGGCAATTTCAGAGCATTTTGGCCTCTACTGTTTAAATATGAAGCAAAAAACCTTTCTTATTTCCAAGGCAGCAGTCCAGGGTTCAGGGGAAAGGAAGGATATCACCCAGCAGTCCCACCTCCACTCCACTCAGACTCCCAAATAAAATACCTGCCGGAGCTGTTCACCACATTGGAGGATGCACTCGGTTCTGGCACACTTGCCAGAGTGACATTGTCCAGACTTTCAGACCTCCCCCAAATCCGGTACTGTTCTCTTATGCTCTACTAATAGGGCCCTCCTAACTGGGAACTGGGAGGGAGGGTTGTCCTGAGGCCTTTAGGGAATCAGAAATGGACAGGCTCTGGGCAGTGGGCTCCACGGTCTAGCTTCCTGAGGTGGTACTGACATCAGGTTGGGGAGATGGTTCCCTGGAGAGTGTAGGGAAGTGACTGCTTAGTGGGAGGGCTCCGGAGGCTGAAGCCTAGTAAGGATAGGGAAGCTCTGGGAAGATGGGAAGAGGCTCCCAACCGTAGCTGCTCAGAGCTAGGGACCTAAGAAACAATATCCCCTTGAAACTCTAGGTACCTTTCCTAGGTGGGCTTCTGCTCCCCACCCCCACTGTCACTCTAGGGGAGACTGAGCTTCCACATCCAGCCCCAGCAGCCAACCCGACAGACACAACCATTTCTGGTGGGGGGGTGTGTGTAGGGGAAGAGGAGGGAGGCCAGGAGCTTGGGCCTTACCTGAGAGGGAGTAGTCAGTGCTGGTCATCCTCACAGCAGGTGTGTAGGAGACGCGGGGAGCTAGCTCTCGGACCTTCTCTTTCTGCCGCCGCCGATGCCAGGCAAATAGGCCCAGCAGCACCACAATGAGGAATAACAGCAGCATGATGCCTGTGACAGCACCCACCGAGTGCTGCTCTGCACCCAGGGCTGGGCTGATCTTGGTGTAGGGATTCAGCTCCTCCATCATGAGGGCAGCTGCGGGCAGAGGGAGGGCCTGAGCCTGGGGCTGGCCTGCTTGCACTTCAGATCTCCTGGGGCTGGGCTCAGATGCCCATAACCCCTCTAATATTAGGAGACCTGGTTCTGGCGTTGGCCCAATTCCTCAGTCCCTATGTGACTACCCCCAGCCCTCAACACTAAAGGGAATGGAGTCCCAGGGTCATGACAAGAAGTGAATGTGACTGTGACTGATTTTACCATGTTCCAAAAATGAGTTACAGATATTAACTCATTTATTCTCTCCAGCAGCCCTATGAAGGGACTAGTATTTTCCTTTCACAGATGAAAAATCCAAGTTCCCAAAAGGAATGTGCCCAAGATTACATAGCCTGTAATTGGCAGAGTCAGTTTTCTCAGGAGTCAGGAAAAAATGAACACAGCCCCTTCTCCCTGCTTACCAGTTGTGTGGCTCAGAGTCCCTAGTTTGCTCATTTGTAGCATAGGAACAATTATCTCACCCACCCCAGTGGTTGTGAGCACCAAGTGATAGACTGGGAAGGAAAGCTCTAAGTGCTGTGCTATTATTTCCAGGATTACTGCCCATAGGACCCCTGTTGGTTTTATATATATATATATATATACATTATACATATACATATATATATACACACACATTATACATATACATATATATATACATATATACACATATACATATATATATTATACATATACATATATATATACACACATATATATACACACATATACATATATATATATACATATATATACACATATACATATTTGCGTGTGTGTGTGCGCGTGCGCGCTGCCCACACCCTCCGTGCTGATGCTTAGTCTAGAGGGCTGTCCTGCCAGGCCCGCAGTGTCTAGACTCCTCCTTGGCTGTTGGCTGCTGGCTGAACTGAGCTGGCCAACATCCCTAGGGAGGTAAAAGTGCTGCATTATCGTTCTCAGTGATTCATCCTCGGAATGCAAGGGAAATCTGTCTTTTGGCTCCTTTTCTATAATGTGGATAATTGAGATCCCATTTTCATCCCCCATCTCCTAGAACCAACATGTTTGCAGCACGTTATAAAGGGCTTTTATATAACAAAGCCAGCATTTATGGAGTGTTCACTTAGGTGTCAGGGACCATGCTGAATCCTTTACTTATACTGTCTCAACTTGATCCTCACAACTGGACCCTGGGACTCCATCTCCTTTAGGCACTAGGAGGTGCCATCTGACTGTAGTGTTACAACCAAGGTCGAGCCCCTATGGGCTCCTTGACCTTCAGAGTAATTGTGCGTCATGGGGGAATGATTAATCTACTCCTCCCACTTTGCATGTAGAGTAACAGGCCTAGCAAAACAAAATGACTCACTCGACGACACCTAGTGGGTAATGGCCAAACTAGAACTTGGCAGATATTCTTTTTTTTTGAGACGGAGTTTCGCTCTTGTTACCCAGGCTGGAGTGCAATGGCGCGATCTCGGCTCACCGCAACCTCCGCCTCCTGGGTTCAGGCAATTCTCCTGCCTCGGCCTCCTGAGCAGCTGGGATTACAGGCACGCGCCACCATGCCCAGCTAATTTTTTGTATTTTTAGTAGAGACGGGTGTTCACCATGTTGACCAGGATGGTCTCGATCTCTCGACCTCGTGATCCACCCGCCTCGGCCTCCCAAAGTGCTGGGATTACAGGCGTGAGCCATCGCGCCCGGCCAACTTGGCAGATATTCTAACTTGGTCTGGTGGCCTTTCCACAGTACTAGCTTGTGGTTACCCTTGCTTGGCTCAAGGGAAACTTGCCAAGGGTGAGCCCAGGGAAGCTGTGACTGAGGGACTGCCTGCTCCTTACGTCTCTCCCGCACTTGGAGCCTCTGCAGCCCACCCTGTTCCTGCTGTCCTCACAAATGTGAATAAAGGGAATTGTCATCAAATCCAGCTGTTCCAGTTGGAATCTCCCCAGAATCTCCAGGGGGCCCTTTCCATAGAGCCCAGGGGCCTCTGCAACCTGTGTATTACCTTGGTCACACCTGATTCCTTTGAAGCCAGGGCTGCAGTAACAGGTGCCGGTGACATGGTCACAGGTGGAGTTGTTCATGCACTCACATAGCTGCTGACAGCCGTAACCAAAGGTTCCTGGGGCACATCCTGTGTAGCACAAAGAGTTAGGGTAGAGGACCCACTCACTGTCCACCCCTCCCATTCCATGTGTAGACAGCTTGGCAGTAAGCCTGTTCTGCCTCCCACTGAGTGAAGCCTATTCCCTTAGCTCCTGTTGTGCTTTGGCTAGATACTTGGGGGTGGACAGAACATTTACAGCACTGAGTGGGGGATACGAGGAGAGAGGAGGGCCCACTCATCCCTACATTCTCCTCCTGCAACACATTTAAGCAGTACCTTCCAACCTGCTAGGCCCTAATCTGAGTGCATAGGGACTTCAAAGATTAATAAAAAAAGATCCTGCCTCCCACTATTTTCTCATTACCTGCTACGGCCTTTTCCCTGCCCTAAATGCCCCCCATCTCCACCCAACTGAAGGGAGACATTCTTCAAACAACAATGTAGGCACAACCTTCCTCAGCATTCTTCCTTGGAAGTAGCCCCCGAAGTCAAGGGACCACGGGGTACAGAGCCCTGAGTGAGTGGCCCTTGAAGCAGGAGGCATCCTCTGCAGGAGGTGATGCAACAGCATCACCCCGGATCAGGGGTCAGGGCAGCTTACTCTGCTCGCAGTGTTGCCCGGTGAAGCCTGTGCGGCAGGTGCACTTGCCACTGATGTGGTCACAGCTGGCGCCATTCTGACACTGGCATACGCGCCCACAGTCCTTCCCAAAAAATGCTGCTGGGCAGCCTAGAGAAACAAGATTTCCAGTCACATGAGTTGCTGCTGGATGGGGACAAGGGCAGAGGTGTAGCAGCGACCAGACCTGTCTTCTCTTTTTTTTTTTGCAGAGCGTGGGATGAAGACTAGTGAGCTCCTGCACCAAAGCTGTCTCCCTGCTCAGGCTTTTCATGCTGAAGGGGTAGGGGCGAGGTGATCCTTGCCTTTCCAAGACAGAGGGGCCTAGGAACCACAGGCCAGGCTAGGGTCTCCTTCCTGTGTGGCCACAGGCTGCTCCTCCCCACTCTGGGCCCCACTGTCCAAGGAGGGTCTGGTCTTGGTGATTGCCGGGGTACCTTGCAGCCCTGACCTTTCAGGAGCTAGGGCTTGTTCATCCCCTGAACCCTATCAGGTCTGGAGCTGCCCCTGCAGAGCTCCTCAATTCTCACGGGGCAGGAGTCGGGTACCAGTCCTGGGGCCGGCTTCCTTCCTCCCTCCCTGCTGGTTTGGACAATGCCCGCCGTGGCCAGTAGGCCGCAGCATGGGATTCTAAGTGGCAGGGAGGCCAGGAGGTGGGGCTTACGCTGTGTGCAGAAGAGTCCAGTCCAGCCAGGGGTGCAGTGGCAGGCCCCGTCCTCGGCGCTGCAGCTTGCCCCGTTGTGGCAGCTGCATGTGTGGAAGCAGGCAGGGCCCCAGAACCCGGGTGGGCAAGCTAGGATGTGGGTGGAATGCAGAGGGTGAGGGGAAGGCGGAGAGGGGCAGACGGAGAGGGAGAAGAAGGGGGAGTACACGTCAGAGCCAAGATGCCACAATGGACCTGGCTGACATTTCCTGGCTTTCAGGGGCTTCACACACTGTTCCCAGAATTCCTGCACTTACCTCTTGGCTCAGTTACCCAGGATTCCATCCATTAAGCCCGGGTTCTCTGCCTCTCTGCACACTCTCCAAGACTTTGATGATTGACTCAGCAGGGCTCTGAGGGCCCCTGAGCCTCCCCTCTCAGGGGACTGACTGATTTGGAGCATGTGGGTAAACACTGTGGTTTACCATGTATGTACTGTGTGTGCTTTCCCCACGAGAATGGGGACTTTGCTAGGGCAGGAGCTTTCATCTTTTAGCTGGTGAGCTCCCAAGGATGGAGCCTATGTCTCCCCATCATACTAGAAATTCCCTCAGTCATCTAACTAGAACCTCTCCAAGGGTACTGGCTAGGTCTCATCTGTCAGACAAGGAGCTCCACAGCGTCTCTGTCCTCAGTTTAGGGGCTTCTGGAGACGGGCTGTTCCCTCCACATCAGATTGGTGCACTTTACATGAACAGCCCCTAGGACATCATTCACATGGGCCATCCAGAGAGCACTGTACCCTCCTGAGGTGTCTGCCCTGGCCCCATCTCGCTTCCCTACTCCCAAACTCAAGCACGCTGGTCCTTGCCCAGGTGTCAGTGGAGTGTTAAGTCTCAGAATTCATAGCATTAATGGTATCATCAACAATATCAATACCTTTAATATCAATAATACCAATGATCAATCCTGATAATCCATCATGTTAGCTATAGAGCTAAATGGGGCTCATTCCTACATGCAGGAGATTTTATCCCTGGAAGTGGAGGTACCAGGGCAGAGAGGTTTTGGGCAACAAAGGGAGAATTTTGGGGTCTGACCCCAGGTAGGGGCATTCCCAGATGGCAGCAGCTTACCCTGTGAGCAGTCCTTGCCAATCCATCCAGGGAAGCACTGGCAGGAGCCATCGATAGGGCTGCAGGTCCCGTTGTTGGCACAGGAACAGAGCTGGGCACAGTCCTGCCCAAAGTGTCCTCCAGCACACACTGTGGGCACAGGGCAGCCTGGCACCCGTCCTCCCACCTGTGTTCCTCTGACTTCCACCCACAGCTCACCCCTAGATGTTCCCAAGCCAAAGCCATGATCACCCCGAGGTCATGGATCTGGATAGAAACTGCTCACCCTGGCACCCTGATCACCCTTCTCCATTTGCACATGAATGAGTTGCCCCTCTCATGCCTACGGCTGCATTCTTCAGGAGGCTCTATAATGACTGCCTCTGATTAAGAACAGCCTGAGGCCCATGGAGGTAGAATCACCTGACTTAGGTCTCACAGATGAGAATTGGGAGGCTGAGCACTATACTTATGGACTCGCAGTCCAGTGCTCCCTGTACTGTTCCACAGCCTTCTGCTTTCTGTTACCACTTTCGCCAGCATCACGGATTCCACAACCATGAGGGTAGAGAATATGTACAGCTGGAAGGAGAGGGTCAAATGCTGTGTGGCAGGTCTGCCTGTGGCTTGACTGTCAGAGAACCAGCCCTTAATGTCCCTGCCTGCCTCTTTCCTCCGACCTGTTGCTAAAGCCTCTAGCTTAACATCCTCCTTAGGAAAGCCCTCCTGAGTTCACAAGGCTCTCTCCACCACTGGTATTTCCAATTTGAGTTACTTGGAGGATTTTGGTCACAGACCTTCCTGGAGGAGAGTCACTCCTTGGTCCCTGGAGTAAGAGCTGGTTTCCTCAGTCAGGCTGCAAAGCTCTTTTAGAAGTAGGTTTGAGTATTCATGGAGCATTTAACCTTTTGTTTCCCTGCAGTTCATCCCCCACCTGCTTCCTATAGCTTGAGCTCTCTAAAGCACAGCTTGCTTCATGGCACTCCTGTGTCCTGCTCAGACAGCCTCAGTGGGTCCCCATTGCTGCAAAAAAAAGTCAGTCCTTGAAGATCGGCACAGAGGATCACAGGAAGGTGTTGATTCTTGAAGAGACGTGACTTCCCCAGGACCCAGGTCCCTCACATTTTGGGCTGAAACCCTCTGCTTTACACCACACTGCCTCATATTGGTAGTCCTTCCCCAGCCAGACTGTGGGCAGCTGGCGGCTGAGATCTGCATCTACTCAGTGCCTTTCCTGGAGATGATTAGTAGTTGAGACAAATGAGAAAGGCAGCATGGTGGACCAGACTCTCCAGTCCAAAGCCTTGGATTTAGGTCCAAGTTTTCTTTATGTATTCAACAAACATAAACATGGCACTTAAATGCACCAGACACTCTTCAGTGTGCTTCACAAATACAGGCATACCTTAGAGATGTGGGTTTTGTTCCAGACCACTGCAAGTGAACATTGTAGTAAAGCAAGTCGCACAGATTTTTGGGTTTCCCAGAGCATGTAAAAATTACGGTTACATTATACCGTAGTCTATTAAGTGTGCAATAGCCTTATGTCTAAAAAACAATGTACATGCCTTGATTAAAAAACACTTTATTGCAAAAATATGCTGACAAAGACATGAAGTGTGTACGTGGTGTTGGAATGTGGCACTGACAGGCTTGCTTAAGGCAGGGTTGCCACAAAGCTTTGCTTTTTTTGTTTTTTGTTTTGAGATGGAGTCTCACTGCATTGCCCAGGCTGGAGTACAGTGGTACAGTCTCGGCTCACTGTAACTTCTGCCTCTCAGGTTCAAGTGATTCTCCTGGCTCAGCCTCCCCAGTAGCTGGGATTATAGGCGCGTGCTACCACATCTGGCTAATTTTTGTATTTTTAGTAGAAACAGGGTTTCACAATGTTGGCTAGGCTGGTCTTGAACTCCTGACCTCAAGCAATCCACCCACCTTGGCCTCCAAAGTGCTGTGATTATAGGCTTGAACCACTGCACCTGGTTAAACCTTTAATTTGTTAAAAACAACAAACAAAATGCAGTTTCTGTGAAACACAGTAAAACAAGGTATGCCTGTATTTAGTTCACTTAATCTTGGAATACTCTTATTATTATAGTCTCATTATGCCTTATCATTAACTCTACTTTATAGATGAGAAACTGAGGCAAGTTAAGTAATTTGCCCAAGGTCCCACGCAACTAGGAAGTTGTACCACTGGCTAAGTGCCTTTGAGGAAATCACAACACCTGTCTTGGTCTCTGTTTCCTCATCTTTGAGATGGGAATGGAAACCCTCACCAGTCATCCTAGGGCCATGGTTAGTAGCTGTGGCAGGCTGGCTGATTCGAGACCCTGTGCTTCCCCTGGCAGAAACCTTAGCTCCCTTCCAAAAAATTCCACTGCCAAGAGGGTGACATGCATCTCACCTGTCTGCAGCTCAGGCTCCAGCTTTTTGAAAAGCAGGCTGCCCACCCTCTTCTTTCCTGCCGCTGGGAGGTGCTTGATTTGGGGAACTCATCCCTCTGTGGGGAGTAGGGTGCCAGAGCTGCTTTCCCTACCCCACCCCCAAAACGAACTCTGAGCTTCTCTAACAAGATGGTCTTATCTTTGAAGCCTTTCTCACATACGTGAGGCCAACAAATTTACCCAAAGAGCTGGTAATACGATCAATTCAATACATTAATTGGTTGACTTCGTAGCTGAATCAAGAGTAAGACAAAGAGAGGGGCGGCGGACAGAATGAGGGCTGGTGAAAAGAAAACATTTGGTTATATTTAATCTGTGTTTAATGATTCTGCATAAGCAGTGTCTGTAATTTGTAACTCGCCGGAAAGCCAGTCATTAGAAAGTGTCAGTTCAATTTTTTACAAGGTTTGAGACTTAACCAGGGCAGTTGCCATTAATAGCAAACTGTTAGATCTATATGTGGGAAATACTCATTAGGCCAGTGGGCGATAAATCAGACAACGCAGCTTCTGAGTTACTCCTCAGGCTACATGGGTCCTAATTTAGACCTAGACTATCTGTATTGATGGCCAGGTCTCCTGTGTTTTTGATAAGTAAACCTCGACATGTCAAGTTATGATTAAACCGTCCTAGGAGGGCTGCAGGTAAATGAAACTGTCACATATGTTTCCCTGGGGCTCAAATTTCTCATGACCTCGAAGCATCATGTAGTCAACTTTTCACTCATACATATTAACAGCCCACACACTGCAAAAATAGCCCAGCTCAGCAGTGATTATTCATCAAAAGAATGGGTTCCCCTGGGAGGTAGTGAGCTCTCAGTCAACAGAAGTATTTAAGTAGAGTCCAGAGGAGATTTCTTGTATGGATGACCTTGAAGTTGCTTTTAGCCCTAAGTTTAACTTTTCTAAGATTTCTTGACTCCTTTCAGGTTAGAGTGCAAGTTCTGTAACCTTGTGTTCAAACCTGCTCTGAAAGCCCCTGCCTACCTTTTGATCCCCTTTTCCCACCCCCAGCTACCATATTCATCCATCAGCTATTCCCTGTAGCATGCCCATGTGTCTGTGCTTTGCCCAAGCTGCTTCCTCTACACAGAATGCTTTTCTTCCTTTTCCGCCTTTCTTTTTTTAAAAAATTTCTTCTTATTTTTTGAGATGGAGTTTTGCTCCTGTTGCCCAGGCTAGAGTGCAATGGTGTGATCTCATTTCACCGCAGCCTCCACCTCCCGGGTTCAAGCGATTCTCCTGCCTCTGCCTCTCGAGTAGCTGGGATTACAGGCATGTGCTACCATGCTTGGCTAATTTTTGTATTTTTAGTAGAGACAGGGTTTCTCCATGCTGGTCAGGCTGGTCTCGACCTCCCGACCTCAGGTTATCTGCCCGCCTCGGCCTCCCAAAGTGCTGGGATTACAGGCATGAACCACCATGCCCAGCCGTCCTTTTCCATCTTTCATGCTAAGGCCTAGCTGAAGTCCTGCATGGTCCATGGAGCCTTCCCCCAAATCCACACTGTCTTGTTTCAAGAAAGCCAGGGATGGCAATAGGCAATGATGTGTGGAGGCAGCTCCTGCCTTCCCACTGGTTGTTCAATATTTGGGAATTTTGTGAATGATGTTAAACATTGGTACCTTGAAATCAGCCATAGGAGGAATATTCTATTTTAAAAATCTGCAAATGATACAATTCAGGGTTTAGCAGAACACCAATGTAAATAAGCTTTCTCTCTCTTTTCAACTCCTGGTGAGTGGCAGCAGTTCTTGGAGTTGGTGTTGTGAAGGATTCTGAGGTCAAGTCAGTAAAGTGTATGGGGAGGGATTAGGGATGGTGGCCTGAATATGATGGGGAGGAGAGCTTGGAAGTTGCCATCTCCAGCCAAAGCCAGAGCCAGTTCCTCTGCACTCCCACAGCATTCTCTGCCTTTACCCATGGCACTCGGCACAGACCACATGGTGCCACTTCTAATGCAGATCTCCTCTATGCTTATGTCACTTTTCATCCCTTTGGCATGCATGTTGGAATAAGAATTTGTTTCTGCCACTTGTTAGCTGCGAAATCAGACAAATCATCTCACCTCTCTGAGCCTCTTGACTGTGTTAGGGCCTTTGTCTCATGCCATGTGGGGCTCAGTTCTCATAAAGGCAGCCCAATCCCTGAAGAGGGAAGGATTTGCCTCCAGAGTGTGATGAAAATCTCCAAATCCCTCCACCCCTGCCACTTTCCTCCCAGAACCTCTCACCTCCCTGCCCAGTACCTTCCCACTGGAGACAGTACCTTGGTTGCAGAGGGCTCCGGAGAATCCTGGGAGGCACTCACAGATACCGCTGACATGGTGGCAGGGCCCGCTGCTGTGCACGCAGAGGGGGCAAGGCTGGGCGCAGCTGTGGCCATAGAACCCAGGGGGGCAGACTGAGGGTGAAGGGGAGATGGTGGTCAGCAGCCCAAGGGACCAGCCTAGCTAGCGAGGTACCCATCCTAGCCACCCATCCTGTTCCACGCTTCTCAAAAACAAGGGGAGACCTGCATCCTTCCCACATCTTGGAGGGCTCATCCCTTTCTGTAGAGAAGAGCTGTGGTGTGGCCGTGTTTCCATTGAGTAGCTGAGCTGGGTCCCAAACTTGGGGACAGAACAGCCAGTGCAGAGAGTAGGGAGACTAGAGGGAGGGAAGAGATGGGGGCTGATTCAAGAGCCCAGCAGCTCTCAGGCCAGGTCTAGTTCCAATTGGGGAGGGCAAGGGAGGATGAGCCCTCTGAGCCCTTCGAGGTCAGGGGATCAGCCTTACTTCTCTGGCATAAGGGTCCTCGGAAGCCAGGGGCACACTCGCAGCTCCCATCCTCTGGCGAGCAGGAGCCTCCATTCTCACAGCTGCAGGAAACGGAGCAGTTGGGGCCCCAGCGGCCAGGTGGACACGTGCTGTCACAGTGGATACCTGTGGGCCAGAGGCAGACTCAGGTCAGTGGTAAGAGAGGTGAGGGCGGAGGGAAGGATGGAGGGAAGGGGGACAGTGTAGTATGAGGAGGTGGAGGCGAGCCTAGTGTATCCAGGAATGTGGAGGAGAAACCCGGCTGAGGCTTGGCTGATCATGGAGGACTCTCAGGAAGAAATGATGTCCAGAGTTCTAAAAGTCAAGGAGGAACTGACCAAGCAAAGGGCACTACATGTGCAAACAACAGGAGGCGGGAGAAAGAATCATGTCTTGAAAGAAATTACAAATAGCGAGTGTGGCTGAACCTACAAAGTGCAAGAGATGAGACTGTGGGAATAAGAAGGGACCGGATCACAAGGGCCTCCTCTGTATGGCATCCAAGAACAGGACCAGGAGAAACCAATTATGGGCAAGTGAGTGCCAGCTGGGAGTAAGCCACACATGCCCACCCACGTTAGCTCAGGAGCCACTGGTGCTGCTGGGTCTCTGCCAACCCAGCCAGGGAGGGGCTCAGAGAGTAGGTGGAGTCTTTTCAGATTCTTTTGACTAGAGTCCTCAGCGAACTGTGTGTATCATTCGTGCACACATACAATAGAAACCAGTGCTTTGCAAAATTACATTTACTGTCACTATGTATGATGGACTCTGATGTTTTCTCTGTACTGTGATGTACTCGATTTCATTTTTTAAAATGTTAGTTGTAACCCAACAATTTTATTTAATGACCCTCAGTTTGACAGTGGCCCAGTGGGGAATGGATGGAATTTCTCAATAAGAAAAAGGAACAAAGTCTGTATAGTCTTTTTGGGCTGAGGCAGAGGAAATGTGTGTTAGGTTCTCTACAGCCTGAAGGCGAAGAAGGAATTTTAAAAGGCCTGAGGCTGGATGCCCCAGCTCTGGGGTAGATTTTCTTCCCAGGCAGAAAGGCTTCCAGTCTGACATGCATTAGGGAAATGGAACACGTGAGCCCAGGAGACTGGCTTGGCTTCGGAAGGTGCATATCAGAGGCTCAGAGAGGGGCAGAATTAGTTGAAAAATCATGTCTGCCTTGTTATTAGAACAGGGATTGTGGGAAAGAGGAGGAAAGACAGGAGAAAGACACTCATGCTCGGTGAACAGAGCCCACTTTAACAGCAGCAAGAGAGCAGTGGGACCAATTTAGAGGCAGGCTGGAATTGTACAAGCCCACCTGGGCTGGCAAGGAGACGGGAGGGAGCGTGGAACCGTCAGAGCGGGGCGAGGGAGGGGATGCAACAGGCTTTACCTATCCTCCTGTTCCTCAGTCTAGCCCAGCATCTGTGCTTCCTCCACTTTGCAGCAGGCTGGAGGCTTCAGATGCCACTCTTTGGGAAATGGTTGTGGGTGGGTAGTTGGGGCTGGGGTGTACAAGTGGTTTCCTTCCCAGGGAATGGGATCTGGCAGCCATATTTGCCATATTTTACCCATTGATTGGGGTCTCTCCCAGTGGTGTTTCAGGCACCCAAGAAGTGAAGCCTGGACAGGCATCATAGATTGATTAAAGGGAGCTTGGGAAAGTGGAAACCATGAAACTGTTCAAAGTTTTGGATTCATCTTCAAGTGTCTCCTCTTCCTGGGCATAACAAAAGCTGTGACCTGACATAAGGCTTTTCTTTTTTGAAGACAGGGTCTCTATTGCCCAGGCTGGAGTGCAGTGGTGCAGTCTCCGCTCACGGCAACCTCTACATCCTGGGTTCAAGCAATTCTCCTGCCTCAGCCTCACAAATAGCTGGGATTATAGGCATGAGCCACCACAGCTGGCTAATTTTTGTATTTTTAGTAGAGACGGGGTTTCTCCACGTTGGCCAGGAGGTTCTCAAACTCCTGGTCTCAGGTGATCTGCCTGCCTCAGCCTCCCAAAGTGCTGGGATTACAGTTGTGAGCCACTGTGCCGGCCTAGGACTACTTTTGCCTGTGCTTGTTGGAAACCCAGGGTTCAGACCACAGGCCTAGGGACACAGCTGTTCCTTGGACTGAGGTAGAGCTTTGCTGCCTACAGGGCCCCCAGTTCCACTGCACACCGAGCACTCTTTGCCAGCTGACCAAGGCACATATGTCACATGTGGACACGACTCTTTCCTAAAACTATAGGTATTGCTGTATTCATAAAACACAGTGTAGTATGTGAAAGCACCGCTGAATTCACGGCAGCTGGTTGCTATTTTGTTTGTCCCAGCCAGTGACTATTATAAGTACAGCTACTCTCATTGTGGGATCCTTAGTGTTTCCATGTAAAAAGGGGTCCTCTTTTATGGAGATTGAGAGCCATGAGTGTACCATATTTATTCTCAGACTGAAGGTGGTTGCAAAGTCCCACTGGGTTCTAGGACTTGGCGGTTATTATATTTTGGGCCTGTTTCTATGGGAGTGGGGCTCCTGTTTGTGGTTCTTAAATGTCCCAAGAACTTCTTAGAGCTTAAGACATGGGATCTAAGTGGAAAGAAGGGTCAAGGATTTCCCCATGTGGAGTGCCCAGTTTCAGAAGCAACTTACTGGTATGATCAAAGAGGCTGACCTTGGCCTTGTGGGAGGCTCCCAGTTATAGCTTCTGAAGAAGCAGTTTCAGTTACCTTCCCGGGCCCCGGTTTTCCCCACAGTTGGATAGGGATAATAATCCCCCTCAGAGGTCCTTTCTTACTCTTGGGAATCTCCTTGCTTTATTTTCCAGGACTCCCCCTGACCCCCACATCTATACTGGCAGGTAAACCTAGGCTAGGAATCCATACATTATGATCTCTAGTTCATGCAATGAACGCAGTAGCCACTCAGCAGCCCATATCCTTCAGGGTAAGCTTAGGGTCCTCCTTCTCCAGGAAGCCTTCTTGGATGTCTGCCCAGGGAGACAAGCACCTCTTTGATAATCAGCAGCATACAGCTTTGTCTCTACCTGTTCCTTGAAAGCTTCATACACACGAGTCCTGTCTCCTCTGCCAGCAGTTTGAAGACAGGGAACACAGCTTATTGGCACTTCTGACTTTGCTTACCTAAGTGCTCCTCACGGACAGGATACCATCTTGGTCAATGTTGCATCTTTGGTGCTTAACACAGTGTTTGGCACACACTAGGTACTCAGAAACTGTTGCTTTTTACCATTTACTGCTGAGTCTGGCATGGTGCTAGGCACAAGGTAGCTGCCAAATAAAGACTTGGTAATTGGCTTGAATCAATAAATGCTAGTTGATTGAATAAATAGTTCCCCCTAAAGATACAGTTCTGAGTCTCTCATCCTGTTGGCACTAATGTCCTGATACCCCAGACAACTCCTTTTCCTTATCTGTGCCATGAGAAGGTTGGAGGAGATCATCTTTAAAGCCACATTAAGGAGAAAAGCCATGAATGGTTATAGTCCAACTTCTTCCAAATTATTTCAGTAAACATTTAATAAGCATATATTATATGTAGGGCGAGATGAATAAGACAAAATGCCAGTTGTCAGTAAGTCTGTGGCTTACGAGGGCGAGGGGGAGACAGAGATACACAGCTCAGGGAAGCCCCAAACCTGCGCCAAGCCAAAGTATGAACAATGTGCCAGGAACTTCAAAGTTAGGCACGGATTATTTTTTTACATGGAGTTTCGCTCTTGTTGCCCAGGCTGGAGTGCAATTGTGTGATCTTGGCTCACCACAACCTCGGCTTCTGGGTCCATGTGATTTTACTGCCTCAGCCTCCCAAGGAGCTGGGATTACAGGCATGCACCATCACACCTGGCAGTATTTTGTATTTTTAGTGGAGACGGGGTTTCTCCACATTGGTCAGGCTGGTCTCAAACTCCCGACCTCAGGTGATTCACCCGCCTCAGCCTCCCAAAGTGCTGGGATTACAGGCTTAAGCCACCATGCACAGTCCCAGGCATAGATTTTTCTTGAGGCAGAAGTGAGTGGGGAGAGCTCACTGAGTGGGAGGCCCTTCTTTGTCTCTCATTGGCCACCTTCTGCATGACAAACCTCAGGACATCAGTTGCTTCTTTGAACCGTGCAGTGGCTCATGCCTATAATCCCAGCACTTGGGGAGGCCGAGGCGGGTGGATCAGGAGGTCAAGAGATCAAGACCATCCTGGTCAACATGGTGAAACCCCGTCTCTACTAAAAATACAAAAAAAAAAAAAAAATTAGCTGGGCATGGTGGCGCACACCCCTAGTCCCAGCTACTCGGGAGGCTGAGGCAGGAGAATTGCTTGAACCCAGAAGGTGGAGGTTGCGGTGAGCCGAAATCACGCCATTGCACTCTAGCCTGGGTAACAAGAGCAAAACTCCATCTGGAAAAAAAAAAAAAAAAAAAAAAAAAGACTTCAGGACCACATTTGGAGAAATTAGGTTTAGAACAGCAGAGGCCTTGCAAAAGGTTGTTAACCAAAGAGAATTTTTAAGCACTAGATGTCATTAAAATCTTCATCGGCTCACTCAAAATTAAGGTAATGAAAAATTAAAGTGGATTTCCACTTGGTTCCTGCTGAGATTCTAGGGTGCCAGTGACCAGGGTGGAGGCTCATTCTGTACTGAGGGACAGGAGCCAGCAAGGCAGGGGAAGCTAGGCCAGAGATGCTGCAGAGGAAGCAGGGTCCCTGGCTCTTGGCTGCTTAGAAACTTTCTGGTTGTGAACACAGCCTGTGGAGCAACTTGGTGTTAATTATTTATCTGAGAACCTATACTGCCAGAAATGACTGCATTTCTTTCTCTTTGCTGTTCATCACCTTGGGACGGGCTAGTAGGTTCACTCCTGAAATGCTTATTAAGCACTTCCTGTATTGAGGGCTTACATTTACTGAGCACTTACTATGTGCCAGGCACTGTTAGCACTTTATAGGTAGTTAACTCAGTTAAGCTTCAAAACAACCCTATAGTTGCAAGAATAATTACCTGTATTTTACGGATGGAGAGTTCAGGCCCTGAGAAGTTAAAAGTAACTTGCTCAGGGTCATAAACCCAGGCAGTCTTGGCTCCAGAGCTGGTTTTTTAACTACCGTGTTATCCATGTCTCAGTGTGTGGCAGGCAGTGGATACAATGGTGAATAAGGCAGATGCCTCCTTAGAGCTGATGGCCATGTGAGGGAGGCAGATAATAAACAGTTACTACAACTGTCATTGAATTCTGACTTAAGTACCACAATAGGAAAAGAGTAGGGTAGAAGAATTAGTAAAGGGGATGCTTTTGTCTTGGCCACGTGGTGGGTGGGTATCGTAGCAGGGGGAGCGCCTTCCCAGAGGAGGAAAGGTTTACACTGAAATCTAGTAGATGAGGAATTATCAGGTGAAAAGAAGGGGAAGGAGTGATCCAGGCAAGGAGGCAGTAGCACGTACAAAGGCCAGGAGTGAGGAAGGTGGTTGGCTTCCCAAAGAAGTAGACTATGGCCCTGGTGGCTGGAATGTAGTGAGCAACAAAGTGAGCAGAGCGAGGTGGCAGAGCCAGATCCTGTGAGCCCTGGGCCCTGGTAAGGATTTAAAATTTTATGTAAGACTCGTGGGAAGCCATTGAGGCATTCTGAACAGGGACTGACATGGCAGATCTGGGTTTCTAAAGTTTCCTCTGGACACCAGGTGCAGAATGAATGCAGCTGGGCAAGAGTGGAGGCTGAGGCAGTGCCAGATGTGGGATGGTGCCCAGCAGACCGCATGGTGGCAGTGGGATGAAGAGAAGTAGATGGATTTACCTTGTGTTTAGGAGGCAGGCTGACAGGATAGATAGAAGGACCAGGATTCTGAGACTGGACTAAGGAGAAAGTCCCTTGTCTCCTTCTCCATCATATTCTCTAGATTGAGCACTTATACCCACCATGTGTCAGCTTTTGACCTTCTACTGGAGTGACTCTAGTGCCTTGGACAGAGCTTATACCTAATAGATGTTCAATAAGTACTTATTTGAATTGAATGGAATGGAGAACTGGAACCCAGAGCAGATATAGGGAAAGATGCATATTCAGGGAACAAGAAGAAAGGTATTGAAGGAGAAAGAAGGATCAAGATAATTAGAATACCAAGAACCCAGTTTTACAGTACCTGGGTATTGGCACAGCAAGGGAAGGTTACCTGTCCATCCGGCCAGGCAGCAGCAGTGGCCTGTGACTGGGTCACACCCGTCAGCATGGCTGCAGTCACAGTGTTCACTGCAGTTCAGCCCAAAGGTGCCATCCTGTGGAGAAGACCAGGAGAGAAAAATGATCAGACCCAAACTTCCAGAGGTTTGTGTACTTCTATCGGATCTTTCTTTTAAAAAATTTTTACTTTTGGAGGGTCCAGTGGGATCTCCTGGATCTTGATGACAAAACTGAGCCACAGCGGGGACATGTTTTGTAAGTGGAGATCAACACAGTCATGAAAACACTCACAGGAGTATGAGGCTGGGAGGGAGGGAGGTGATATTTCTACTCTGCTTTTCGGTGGTCAAGCTCAGGGCCTGTAATGATCATTAACTAAAATTGGAAATGAAAATGCACTTTGCAGATTGTAACACGCTGATCACATGTGAGGAAAGACTATGATTTATTCTTTGTTGCTGGGAAAGAAGGTGGTCACCAATTCTTATATGCTCATTAGGTATCCGGAGTTTCATATACCTCATTTTTCTTAATCCTCCCAACAGTTCCATGATATGATTCCATTATATTCCCACTTTAAAGATGAGAAACAAAGTTAGAGAGGTGAAGTAACATGCTCAAGGTAACAAAGGATGTAACAAAGCCGAGATTTGAACCCAGGATTGCAGGACTCCAAATTGCTCTTTAAGGACTGCATTGCTCATTCAACAATAACATCGGTTGGTTTAACTTATTTGTATCTTTTTTTTTTTTTTTTTTTTGAGATGTTGCCAGGCCAGGCTGGAGTGCAGTCATGCGATCTTGGCTCACTGCAACCTCTACCTCCTGGGTTCAAGCAATTCTCCTGCTTCAGCCTCCTGAGTAGCTGGGATTACAGGCATGTGCCACCATACCCAGCTAATTTTGTATTTTTAGTAGAGATGCAGTTTTTCCATGTTGGTCAGGCTGGTCTCAAACTCCTGATCTCAAGTGATCCACCCGCCTTGGCCTCTCAAAGAGCTGGGATTACAGGTGTGAGCCACCATGCCCGGCCCATATGTATCTCAGATCCGTAGGATCCAGTGATTCAGTCTGGGTGGTTATTGTTGAACAGTGCTTGTGTTCGTCACCACACACTCTGATCATAAAAGTATAGGAAGCTGAGACATTACCAAGGAATGGCAACTCTCATGGATTAGTAGGGGCTGTCTTGTAGCACTGTGTTGCAAAGGAATCTGAAGCTGCATTTGAGCTCGAATGCCAGAGTCAGTAATGCTTACCAAGAGTAGCAAGGGAAAAGTGATGCCATGTCACCATATCTGCCAAATACTTGCCATTTTATACATGAGAGGGATGAGGGCCACAGTAGTAAAACAGCCACAGAGAGGTTCGGACTAGGTTGTGACCTGAATCCGAGTGTCCTGTCACCTAGCTTAGTGCTCTTCTCTGTGCACTCCTGTGGACAAACTAATACCAGGGAAACGGCGGGTGTAAGGGGATCCTGAACCCAATGTGTCCCTCCCCACCTTGGCACTCACCGGGCAAGGCAGCTCACAGGCGTCTCCCAGCCAGCCAGGGGTGCAGGAGCAAGAGCCATCTGTGGGGCTGCACGCTGCCCCATTGGCACAGGTGCAGCTCTCATTGCAGTTCAGGCCCCACGTCCCACTGGGACACGGCAGGGTGCAGTCCGGGCCCTGCCACCCTGAGGGGAGGGAAAGGGACTGTCACTTCTCCATCCAGGTCCAGTGTGTCCTTTTGCCCACTTCCCCCAGCTCTGCACACAGCATCCTACCCAAACCACTGCTTTCCTGAGGGCTGGTGAGAACACACATTCCACACAGAGTCAGCTCAGAAATACAACAGAGCTGTTGGGAGAGCTGGGGCGAGAACCCAGGTCTCCTTCCTCTGGTGCTCATGGTTTGTGCTGCAGGCAGATGATCCCACCTGGAACAGGCACCAGCTCAGGTGGAGAGTGCTGTCTCTGCCCAGGGTGGAGTCTGGAAGCTTATCTCAGGGCCCTCTGTTTGAGGGACAGGCTGATTGTCCGTTCTTAGGCTGCTCACTGGCCTCTTTGTCTACCATACCATTTTTCTCCTTCCCTGTTCTGTGATGGGGGCTGTCCCCTGCCCTGCAGGCTGCATATCCCAGGATCCCCCTCAGCTGGCTCCCAGCTCGGCTGCCCGTGGGAGACCTGCCCACAGGCTGGAGGGCAGAAGCAGGAGAGACAGGTGTGTCCTCTCCCTCTTCCTCTGCACAGCCCCTTTCTTCATGCCCCAGCTCCCACCAGGTGGCCCTTGCTCCCAAGCTCTGGGAACTCTTCCTCTTGTCCCTCCGACCCCAGGAGTGATAGCGGCTTCCCCTGCAGGTGTAATGCCTGGGTTGCACACCTTCCCTGTGTGCTGTTCAGCTCTTCCAGCAACATTGCAGTGAATCCCCTTATTACGTTCCTGCTCCTGAAGTTCCTGGCATGGGTTTCCTTACCTGGAACCCAGCCAGTAGAAGCTCCCTGACCTTGCATGTGGGTCGGATTGGGGCAGCCCCACCTGAAACCCCTCGGCTGGCAACCCACCTGGGCAGTGTGCTTGTATGTGGGGGATGGGCTTGGGAGAGAGGGCCCATTACCTTCCTTGCAGGTACAGGAGCCATCTACTGGGGAGCAGGTGCCACCATTGTGACAGCTACAGATGGACGAGCAGTTGGGGCCGTAAGTCCCTGCTGCACAGGAAATGGCACAGACCTCTCCCTGGAAAGGGAGGGGGGAATTTTAGATCAAAGGTTGCTCCATGTTGGATGGAGGTAGTAGGCAGGATAATGACCCCCACCACCCCCAACACATCCACGTCCTAATCCTTGGGATCTGTGAATACATTACCTTACATGGCAGAAAGGGACTTTGCAGATGTGATTAAGGCCCTGGAGATGGGGAGAATGTCAGGGGTTATCCGGGAGGGCCCAATACAACCATGAATCCTCAAGAGTAAAAGATGACCAAAGAAGGTAGGTCAGAGAGATACACCATGAGAAGTCCTCCACCCGCCTGTGCTGACTTTGAAGATGGAGGAAGGGGCCACGAGCTGAGGAATGCAGTGGCCTCTAGAACCTGGGATCAACAGCTCCTTTACAGCTAGCAAGAAAATGAGGGCCTCAGCCCCGCGACCAGAGGAACTGAATTCTGCCAACAACACGAGTGAGTGGGAAACAGACCCTCTCCTAAAGCTTCAGGAAGGAACACAGCCTGCCGGCGGCACCTTGGCTTCAGTCTCATGAAATCCACACCAGACTTCTGACCTTCAGGACTATCAGATAATAAATTCGTGCTGTTTGAAGCCACTAAATTGTGATTTTTTTACAACAGCAATGGAAAACTAATATTATAACCCTTATCAGTTATTGGAGGGGGTCAGGCCTCCAGACCACAACTCTAGGGTGGGCAGAGCCCCCGGGGACCTTTACCCCAAAGTCTGTATTAGGCTGAAGCAGCACCAAATCGAACCCTTTGCCTCCCAATCTTATTTGTTACCCACAACCCCATGATACAAGTAGTAATATCCTATCCGCATTTGCCTGAGCCTCAGAGAAGTTAAATGTAAATGATAGCTAATGCATATTGAGTGCTTTCTCAATATGTGGACCACACACCTACCATCTCATCTAATTGTCACAGCACTCACCGGAGACAGAAGCTGTTGTCTCAGCATGATTCTCACCTGACAGGTAACACAACGACTTAACTCTGCCAAGGTCACAGAACTAAACCCAGTTGCTCCCATTTGGAAGCCAGGCTGGCTGCTTAACCGTTACATTACCGGGGATCCTACACTGACTACCCTGCAAAGCATTCTGAGATGGAGATTAGCCAGCTCTTGAGAATAGTCCCGATAAGGGATAAGGGAGGAGGTCTGGGCTGAGGAAAAGTTGAACCGAGGCATAGTTACAGTAACCTACACTGGTCTGGCAGGAAGCTCTGAAGCTGAGATGACCGCTGGAGTTGTCCCACTTGGGGGAAAGGGAGGGAGATCCTTTATGCCCCTGTCAATCACTGGCCATCCACTGGGGTGGGCGAAGGGACCATGGCTCTTCAGATGAGTCGGCTGACTTGGAGGGCAATTTCTACAGAGGCCATCACCCGGGAGCCACTAACTTTCTGGCAGCTGGGGAGGAATGTGCTTCTGTCCTGAGGGGTGAATCTGGGCCTCCATCTACCGGTAAGTGGGTGTGCTAGCTTCATGAAGTAAGGAATTTGGAAGAGGGGCAAGTTACAGAGTAGAGGGACCAGGAATGGAGGCCTCAGAGGCCTTGAGGGGTGGGAGCATTCAGTTAATCAGAGAAGAGTGGGGTAAAGGCCATCCAGGTGGGAAGAGGGGTGTGGACAAGTGTGTGGGGGAGTATAAGCCGGAAATGCTGTACGGGTGGCTGAAGCGGGGAGTGAGGGAGATACGTAAAAGGGGGTCTGGGAACCTAGAATGCCAGGGGAGGGAGTTTGGGCTTTCTTCCCTGAGGTCCCGACCTAGGAACCTACAGTGGGGCTGTCTACGCTGGAGCAAGTGGGCAGTGGATGGTGAATTCCCACCTCCCACCCCTGGGAGTGTCTCCAGCCAGCGTCTCAGGTCTTACACCTAAGCTTTTCATGGGAATCCTGATAAAAAATCTGTCTGGGCTGGGAGACCAGAGCTTGTCTGGGCCGCACTAGCTGTGTGACACAGGATATGTACTGCCCCTTTCTGGGTCTCAGGTCCTGCATCTCTAAAATGACAGGCTTGACGCAAAGGAGCTCCCTTCTCAATCTAAGGGTCTAGGCCTCTGGCTTTACTCCCACGTGGGCCACAGAGAGACTAGAGGGTGTGGGTCTTTGCCATGGAGAGGCTCTAATCCGGCCCTTTCCTGCTTCTGTCCCATCCTCAGGGTCAGGGAGTGTGGAGTCCTTCCCTGAAGGACTCACAGTTCCTGCTCTTTCCCCTGAGTCCCCAGCAGGCCTGACCAGCTGGAATCTGTCAGCTTTCCCATTACCCAGAAAATTCCAATTTCTCCAAGACGATAAATAGCACCTAAGAATCTATTTGACCTCTGAGGGCCTTGGCCTGGGTGCAGACAGTGGGCACAGCCAATGCCTTTCCCTGCATGCATGAATCTGCTATCGGAGAGAAGGGGTTTCTTTCCCAGCGTCCTCATTAGTGTCCCCAACCCTGATCACCCTGCAAGGCCTCAGGTTGTCTGTGAGCCCTGTTGTGGGTTTGCTGATGGGGCTGAGTGCCCTGATCCATGGAACCGGATACTGGGAGCCCAGCTTGACACATCTGCTCCCCACAATGCTGCGTCAGTTTCCTGGAAGGCCACCGGGCTGAGATGGCTTTCTGATTCCCAGAGAAGAAAAGGGAGACCCAGAGAGGGGCAGTGGCTTATCCACGACCCCTGGTGTGTTAGTGCCAGTGAAAGTGAAGGAGAAAGAACCAGATCTTCCATCCTGAGAGGCAGCAGAGGTGAGGAATCAGAGGGCGGACTCTGGCACCATCCTGCTTCCACAGCTCATTCACTGTGTGATCATAGGCAATTTACTAAATCCCCTGAGCCTCAGTTCCCCTATCTGTTAAATGGGAATTAAAATGTCCCCTTCTCCTAGAATTATTAAGAGTATTAAATTAGTTATTATTTGTGTAGCAGTTAGAATAGTGCCTGATAGGGAGAAAGCACTATACAAGATACTAGTACAAAGATACAGTATCTCTTAGGGAAAGAATACACAAAATCCTCCTAGGTTTAAGAATGAAGTTCTAGCTGGGCGCGGTGGCTCACGCCTGTAATCCCAGCACTTTGGGAGGCCAAGGTGGGTGGATCACAAGGTCAAGAGATCAAGACCATTCTGGTCAACATGGTGAAACCCCGTCTCTACTAAAAATACAAAAATTAGCTGGGCATGGTGGTGCACGCCTGTAGTCCCAGCTACTCGGGAGGCTGAGGCAGGAGAATTGCTTGAACCCAGGAGGCGGAGGTTGCAGTGAGCCGAGATCACGCCATGGCACTCCAGCCTGGGTAACAAGAGGGAAACTCCATATCAAAAAAAAAAAAAAAAAAAAAAAAAAAAGGAAGTTCTAAGGCCAGGTGTGGTGGCTCATGCCTGTAATCCAAGCACTTTGGAGGCCAAGGTGGGGGGAATCACCTGAGGTCGGGAGTTCAAGACCAGCCTGACCAATATGGTGAAACCCCGTATTAAAAAAAAAAAAAGAAGAAGGAAGTTCTAGAGGAGAGATCCATTTCTCAATCAAAAAGAGCCAGCCCTGAAGGAGAGGACGAGGCAGGGTGGGTTCCCCTGGCAGGGGGTTCAGGTAGAGTCCTGACTCCATGCCCCTTGTTTACCTTTTGATCACCTTCTCTGGGCTTGGCTCCCTGTTCCCCCTCAGGTGACACAGGTTGGAACTTTTATCACCACACACTATGGGTATGGTCTTGGGGGACAGACTGATGACTCCCTGAGGGCCACTGTTCCAAACACTTGCATTTGTCAGTTCCTCTGATATTGTGAAATATACATTAGGTCTTCATCCAGTTTCCTGCCAAGCAACTCCTGGAACCCTTAGGATTTCCAAAGTGAGGTCATCTCGTGTGCTAATGATTGACTGATAGCTGCTTCAGGATGGGGGCTGGTCACCAGAAAGACCAAGGCAGATTAGAAAGGTTGGGACTTGCAGCCCCACCCCCCACCAAAGGAGGAGGGTATAAGGAAGAGGGGCTGAAGGTTAAGTTGATCACCGAAGGCCAGTGATGTGATCAGTGATTCTCCATTAAAACTCTAAAGGACAGGGTTTAGAGAGCTTCTGGATAGCTGAACACATGGAGGTTTCTGGAAGGTTGTGCACCTGGAGAGGGCATGGAAGCTCCACACCCCTTCCGACACCAGGGTAGGTGTACACACCCCTTCCTACATGTCTTGCCCTCTGCACCTTTTGCAATATCCTTTATTATAAACTAGTAATGTGCTTCCCTGAATTCTGTGAACCTATCTAGCAAATTAATCGATCCCAAGAAAGGAGTTGCAGGAACTCCGATTTATAGACCATCAGAAGCACAGGCAAAACAGCCTGGAACTTGTGACGGCATCTGAAGGCAGGAGGGCCTGAACCCTCCACCTGGGGGATCTGACACTATCTCCAGGTAGACAGTGTCAGAAGTGAATTGGAGGGCACCCAGCTGACGTCTGCTGCAGAACTGACTGTTCGCTAGTCTTCTGTGTTGACTGTCATTGTTGAGTAGAAGAGAAGAAACTCTTTGTGTTTTCTGGCATTCAGCTCCTAATAGCAAAAAGTCCCAATGGAGAATCAGACAGTTTCTAAAGTGCACAGCTCTGCCCTGTAGGAATGTAACCTTCGCCCAACTACCTTTAAGCACTCTCCTCTTCCACCTCACTGTCCTTGCCCCCTGGCCTCAGCACCAATGCCTACTGGATTCTAACAACTCAACAAGCACAAGTTTTACACTAACAGTTAAAGTTTTTGGCAGGTTCCCTAAATTCTAGCCTCTAATCTGAGGGTGAAGCCTGGTCTGTAATTGACTGGCCGGCCAGTCTCTGGTGATTGATGTTCAAAGCAAGCCAATCACCAACCTATCTCAGATTAGACTGTCAGCTCTGCCCACGCCGGGGCATCCCCTGGCCCAAGCTGACATTTTATCACAACATTAAAAATGTTGTGATACATTTTTAATTTGGGGTACCACTAACAAGCAAGCCTTAATCATGATGGTCTGCGTAGG